AGGACAAAGCCTTATTAATATTAAGAGAAGAAAGAGGTATACATGAAGTCAGGCAGATAACCTAAACAGGGAAAGGAGACAGAATGAAAGGAAGAGATGAAGGGCAAGAGTAATTGTGTGTATGCATACTGTACTGTACTGTACTTTTGGTACTGGCTCGCTTCATTGTTGCAAATTTTTACGAGTAGTCTTTGAGTTGAAACCTGTATTTTATTACAAGGAAAAAGTGTCTTATTCACTATTTTGTAATGCAAGTTCTTGTACAAACTTACCAACTGGAACAGTTACTTATGCATTACTGTAAACAGTACAGTATATAATTTTGTATGAACATGTTCTACTTCTGGTCTAGAGGACCAATCCGAGTTACTTCCCTGGCTCTTATTATTATGGTAACAAATCTGTACTCAATAGTTTACAGCTTTGCATGGGTAGTATTTGCTAATCATGACTCCAATCCCTGTGTATCGTGACTAGTCCTCAGCACATGGGCCAGTGTCCGAGTGTTAGTATCTGACCTATATCTGTACTATACATCTTTACCTATGAATTGTGTGTCAGTTGTACATCTTAAAGACAGTGACAGTAAATGCAATCTTGATTCCTAAACAGCTTAAAATGTACTAACTCCATCCTAAAGTTATGACAGAACAGTCTGAGGATTGAAAGCCATTATGTGCCCAAAACCAAACGAGTTGTCACTCATTGTTGCAACGAGTGACAGTGATGCTCACCTACCCAACCCATTCTCTTGAATACTACATAGCATTTTTACATATAAATCCCCCAAATTCAAGATATGATGTACTATACTAAAAATCATAGCAGTGTGCAAAATTGATGTGATGTCCTGTTTTATATTAGTCACCAAAAAGTAGCATCACTGTGTTAACCCCTGGTACCTACATCAAAATTTTTATACTGTACTTAAAAGGCCCAGTGCATGTGGAGACTTTTCCAAATATGAAAAATAGTGAAAAATGTCCCAATATGTTAAGAAATAGATTATTTTACGATTTTTTTTTTAAATAAATGCATGCGCAACGGGCAGCAACCGGTACTGATAATAAGGATAACACCTCCTATTTACTGGCAATCAGGGATAAAGAGATGCAAGCATCTGTCTGATGCACAAAGATGATAAGCAGTAGTAAGGAGGGTCCACAAAGTGGATATGCAGCTGGTGCCACCTGGAGGGCCAGATTTTACACATAATAAGTTAGTACTGTATGTTATTATGCTGTATTCTATTAAATATCATATAAATACATTGCCCAATGGCAATATTTCTTATGTCCCTATTTGAGACCTATTAAAAAATTCAGTTTCTGACCGATTCTCACCATTTTTACATACTGTATGTGCAAAGTTCTTAGTGCTAAGGTTCCTTGTGAATCATTTAGTCATAAAGCCATAATGTTTGGAGTTATAAATATTTTGCATATAAATTTAGCACATAGTTGGATGGCCAGATTCATAAAAAGTTTTACAGTAAACTATACTCTTAAACAATAATTTTCCCACTAGCAAATGAATGTTACATGCCATTCTGAGACCATAATGAATAAAATAACAATTGGTGACATTATAACGTATTTCATACCTCATTGCACTCTCTCATAGATTCGGTCTCTCAAAGGTAAGGTACTTACTTCATTGCCAACAAACCGACTGCTGTAACCCTGACTATACTAAATATATATAAAAAAACACTAAACTCTTTGAGCCTTATTACCCAAAAATGTACATGTTTACATGTTTCAGTAGGATAGTGGTCAAATGTTTTATCAGTGATTATACTAGAGGCAAGGTGGGCTGTGGTGTTAGTCCATGTGTGGTCAAAGGTTGTAGTGAATATTTTAGTGATTCAGGTGGACTTGGTGATCATGGGGGTTAGCACACTAATAGTTCATGCTGTTTAGGAAGTACAATATTTGACTTGGAGGCTATTTTGTTGACAAAGGTCAATGCTGAAATCACCTATCTTGAGGTTATTCCGAGATGATTTCGGGGCTTAGCGTCCCCACGGCCCGGTCCTCGACCAGGCCTCCATTTTGTTACACACCCCCAGGAAGCAGCCCGTAGCAACTTTAACTCCCAGGTACCTATTTACTGCTAGGTGAACAGGGTGATAGAAACTCTGCCCATTTATTTCCTCCTCTGCCAGGGATCGAACCTGGAACCTTAGGACTACAAGCCCTGAGCACTGTCCACTATATTCAATATATCATTTATTCAATGTTATATGATGTAACTATATAACCTGAGCTTGTAAAAGCACCTTCATCACCTTCAGTGATTAAGTGCTTAATTGCACACTAGTTTTTTATCAGCTATCTCACCCTGTCAGAGTAAATGAGACAGATGTATGTGAATGCATGTGTGTGTATATATGTATGTATATGTATGGGTATAAAGTATATATGGAAGCTGATCAGAATTACATTTCACCTTTGTGAATGTACATTAATGACACTATGTAAAAGACACATCAAACACTTTATGTAGGGCATACGTAAATCTGTGTATCTATGTATTTACGTATGTAGGTTAGCTTAGCATTTTAAAAGCACCGAATCACCTTCTGTGGTTGAGTGTTCAATAAACCCTTGAACTCTATGTTTAACATTTCTCTAACCCTGTCCATGGAGGACAGAAGAAAATGTATATATGCTGGTTAGCATTGTAAATGTGTGGCCATGTCTGTGGTAGAAAATAATAAAAAAAAAAAAAAAAAAAAAAAAAAAAAAAAAAAAAAACAGCTGTCAGGCCCTCATCATCCTATGATGATGTCACCTCCTAAGACCCTTAATTACTAGTTACTATTGTTAGATGGCATAGTTATAGATTAAGTCTCTGAACATTTTGTAGTATAACTATCAGAAGTGCACACTGTAGTTTGAGTGGGGTCCCCCACCAGTGCTACATACAACTAGAGATGTATTATAGATAATACAGAGAATAGTGATAAAACAGACCTAATTCCAGAGTCTTGGACTAAAACGTCTGAATTTGCACTCGTTAGACAGGTGCCGTGTTCAATTCCTGTTACAAGACAGATATCCTTTCAAATGGTGCCCATGTTCACCTGGTCATCAACAGGTACAGTACCCTGTTTATGGTGTCTACCCTATTTATGACCACCCAATCCATGCGATTGGGTGGTTATAAATAGGAGCCGCCTCGTATGGGACAATAGGCCCTCTGCAGTTACCTTTATTCTTATGTTCTTACGTACCCAGAAATCAGACAACTGTCGTGGTTTGCATCCTGGGGAAGGTTATTCACTGGGCCGCTTTCCCATCTCCCACTATGGGAGCCCAACAAACTACACCAGTACATTGGTGTACCACTACACCAGTCTCCGTGGTGTAGTGGTAAGACACTCGCCTGGCGTTCAGCGAGCGCTTTGTCATGGGTTCGTATCCTGGCCGGGGAGGATTTACTGGGCGCAAATCCTTAATTGTAGCCTCTGTTTAACTCAACAGTAAAATGGGTACTTGGTTGTAACAACGATTCTTCGTGGGGGTCGTATTCCAGGGACCTGCCCGAAACGCTATGCGTACTAGTGGCTGTACAAGAATGTAAAATCTTGTATATGGACGGTCTCGCTTCATGCTGGTTGGCGTTCAATCCTCGACCGTCCAAGTGGTTGGGCACCATTCCTTCCCCCCGTCCCATCCCAAAGCCTTATCCTGAACCTTTCCAAGTGCTATAGTCGTAATGGCTTGGCACTTTCCCCTTACCCTCCCACTATGGGAAATCATATTCAATCCATAAATTAGGTATGGGAGGAAAGAAGGTTGCAAATTAAGACGCTTTTTTAATGCCAAAACCATAAACTGCCCGAAACACTTTGCGTAATAGTGGCTTTAGGCATTGTATGTACTAGCTCTATCTATTAATCCAACAAACTTTGTAACATCTCTTGTATGTATGTACCTTACCTAAATAAATATTTATTTATTTATTTATTATTTATAACTTCAATAACAAAACTGAGTTTTTCCCATTAATATTCCAAGTGTCATATAAGCTGATGTAGACATTCAAAACTAACTTTCTTAGCTAAATGAATTTTGATTAGGATTAATTAAAGACCTGCCCAAGACGCTATGCTGCTAGTGGCTGTACAAGAATGTAAGAACCAACTGTGAAGGCAGATCACTACAAGATGGGAGAGAACATATACTGTTGTAAGTGTACTGTACAGTACTTACAAAACCCTTCTGCTTGAAGTGCTTGACGACAGCGGCCCCGAGGGCGCCCCGGCCACCGTAGACCACAACCTTACCAGCAGACATTGTTGGCCTCACCCTCAACACTGCCTCAGGCACACACACACACCCTAACATGGATTTTCCACCCCCCACACCCCCTCTCTCTCCCTCTACATCCCCCCCTCTCCTAGTACAGTCCTCTCCCCCCACTAATACCCTCCTGGCTCTCCCTCACCCCTCACCCAGCCTCTCACCTCTCACCTCCCTCACCCCCCACCCCAAGAATTACCCCTAACACCCTCCCTCACCAAACCTTCCCAATTATTTCACCAAAACAGGCATGTTCTTTTTTACTGTTCTTAAGTTGCACATACAAAAATAGTTTATAAAAGTGCCAGTCACAAGACTTGTTAAAATTATGCCTGTAATAGAGGGAGTGTTTGTGGCTTTTAGTTTATCGATGAGCTGATCGGCAATATCGCTTAATTAATTAAAACAAAAATCTTTAGCATCTGTAAGAAGCCTATTAGGGCTTAAACAGTTGGATTATAAGAGAAAAGATCATTCATCAACTTGTTTGTGCAAGTGCATCTCTTGTGCATCTGATTAAAAATACATATTAGACACAGGCAATAAAAATATGAATCATTTATAGCACTAAATCTTGTGCACTTTGAAAAAATATGCAATAACAAGTTTAATTGAGGAAGGAGAATGTAAGAGTAGATAAATATTAAGGTTCTAGCAGATGCAGTCTCGAGGAAGTTCCAAGTTCCAAGATCGAAGTTTGATGACGTCATCATGGCCTAGTTGAGATAGTGTAAACTAAATATTTTACTGAAAATCTTGGTCTGTTGATGGTCGTGGGACACTGTGATATATTCATGATAAACACTGATATTCATAGAGCGTATAGATAACGCCAAGGGAAGCGTAGCAAGGCTGAGTTAAGGCCCGTGCTGGTGAAATAATGTCCCGTCATGAAGGTAGGTCTCTACAACTGGTTCACAGCCAAAACAGGAATGAATTGTCTTTTATTTTGTACGGATTTGCGTCTTACTTGAGCGGCTTCCTGCACACATCCACCTCGAGGATAATGAGCCAGAATGCAGGTAAACGTTAAGGGAGTGCAAGGCTCGCCTATCTAAGGAGAACAATGAGTACGTTGTGTGAGGTCTATTTTGGACACATTAGACAGCAGATTTCTTATTCCATTAATGCAGATATTTTGAGTCTGGTATTGAAATTGACCAGTCATACAATGTGTACAATGTTCACACAACAAAAATGTTTAGGGACAGGAGTTGCATACTGTTGAACAATGTTGAACGGGTAATACCCAGTTGGAATTGATAATACCATGGAACTTAGCAACATTACTCTCGGCACACATAGCAAATGCTGTACTGTACTGTACTGTGCTATTAACGGTACAACGTTTAACGTAATGTTATCACCACAAGTTAACTAGACATAAAGGCCATACTTATATTAAAGGCACAGTTTTATAATGGAAGTTTTCAGGCTGGAATTTCACTAGTTTCCCAAAGCACCATTGTTGTTCAATATACTGTACTGTACACTACAGTATAGTTCAAGTGTATTCTTAATGACAGTGGGTATATATACCCAGTTGAATGTGACCTCAACATACTTTAGCATATTGCCAAACAAATAAACAATAGATTGATTAACCCAGGTTGTAGATAACTGAATTTTATCCAATTAATCTCTTGATTAAATCATTGTGATAAAAGTGCTCCAAGATGCCTAAGGGAGATAGATAAGCATGCAGACAGCCCTGGCATTGGGTACTGAAGTTGCAATAGGCCCTAAGTTTAATAGGTTTCCTGATCTGAGAAATGGTGTACTAGTGCAAGTTATTGGTCGACTCCTAGATTAACAGTTAACTATTCTAACAGATCCAATGATAGCCACGTACGGTCAACATAACCGTCTTCCATTACTTCATAAACAACGTGTACTGTTAAAACATACACAGGTCTGATGCAACTTTAGCATTCAGTCTTCTCCAGTTGCCTCACTCGGGATGGTGTTTTTCCATTGTTAGGCAAGGATACCTATTAGGTTTATAGAGGTCCCTCTAGGCTAGCTACTGACCCTGTGCAGGGTGCAACCTACAACACTTGAGTAACTCCCAGGTACCTGTTTACTGCTAGGTGAACATAAGCATCAGGTGTAAGGTGGCCAAACATGTTGTCCTGCAAGAAATCAAACCCAGAGCCACTTGGTTATCTGCTGACTGCCAACCACTAAAGGAGTTTTTCTAAAGCACTGTTTTGTTTGGACATCATTATACACCTCTCATCAAAACAGTATTTTGACATTTCTTGTAACATTGCTAAGTATGGTCTTAACGGTTCTTGGAAATTGCTCAAATCTACTCGGTTAAAATTTTACAGTACAGTATGTAGAAACTCCCAAACCAAAATGATATAACCCTTACCTAACCTAAGTACAGCATATTGTGATTACTTAGGATACAGACCTCAGGGTGCTGCATGAGATTAATATAGGCCCATAGCAGGCTCTGTTACCAGTGCTAGTTTCCCAGATCGTTAACTGCACTGGAAGTTGATGATCTGTGCTTCCTCTATTTTGTTTGAAAACAAATTGCATTACATTAACATTGGAAGTACTGTATAATATTAATACTATTTCATTTGAATTTTATTTACACAACTTAAATTTGCTTGAATTTGAGTAATCAAAATAGCATGATGTGTTTGTCAAGCATTGGTGGCAGTTTGAGTTGATTTGGATATACAGCACTTAGTGCTTAGTTTTGGTTTCTGGATATCAGCAAAGGTCTGACCGTGGTACTGACAGGACACTTTATTACCCATGCTGCACCTTTCTGCATGTCTACTTCAATGTTACCTTACAGTTTTAAGTACTGTACTTCCACTTGAAAATGAAATAATAAACATTAATTCATACATAACCCCTTAAGTATGACTATAAAATAATTAATTACATATGATTTTTAAGAACAATAGACTTGCTGAACATGAACATCTAAATACAGTATAGTACAGTACTGGATATTTATTATAAGTTTTGTATTGACTATACAGTATTTTACATTTTAATTTATTGATCAGTATATTTAAAGAGTTCCTCGCATTTTTTGTGGTTTCCGTCTATGAACTGGTGCACATGTTTTTTCAGCACCAGTGTCCGATTACCAGCAGCCATCCAAATTCGAGAGCTTTAACCCTTAGGCTGCGAACAACATCAATTGTTGATTCACAGGGGTAATGCAGTTATCATCATATGAAGAGTTAAACAATTATTGTCTGGGTTTTTAATTGTATGATGCAAATATGGATATAAAAGGTCTGTGGATGTAAATAAAGAAAAACAAGTGACAAAACAATTGGTGAAACATCCGAGGATAAAACGGGAAGCATCGACAAAGTGGAGCACCGGTTGTTGACAAGTGCCAGACACAGCCTATCAGAGCGCTTCCAACCAGTGAAACAATAAATATTCACTTATTTTTGTGTTTTTCTTATATTTTTCATACAAATTAATAATTCTATAATGCACAATTATTTTTTTAAATTTTTAATTTTTTTGTGCATAGGTGTGTATGACCTCTTCTCCATAGCTGCTAAGGGATAATGTTAACTGTGCTTTGTTACCATATGTAAACATGAAGAGAAGGGTGAAAGACAGTTTGGAAAGGAGGAGGCAATTGTAAATACAGTAACTAATTTTTGTGCAGTTGTTTAATCTTGTAATGTAGAGTATGTTGTTGCTTCCCTAAAAGCAGACCTTTTATTACTGAGATTACAGTATTAAAGTTTCATCATACAGCCACAGTTTGTGAATGTTTTCGTGCATCCATGTAATACATGTTCCGTTAACTGAAAGATTCCATTCCAGTTGTAAGTTCAGTGGCAGTAGAAAAAGTATAGAAGAATTCTGGTTGATGTACCAAAATAAAGCTTCTAAGTTGTTGGTTTTTTTTTTTTAATTAAAATCTGTACCTGCAGCTTTCCTGCAGTCAACTTCGAGAGCTTTTCTACTCGTAAATCCAGCTTGGAGCCAGACTTGATCAATCACACTGTTGCTTGAAGTGGCCCACATGCATATATATTCATTACAACCTGGACATTCCAGTACTTCCTGCAGGAATTTATGAGCTTCTTGAAAACGTCCCCCATTTTGTTCTGAAAGTGCCTACTACATTTGGGCAACATTTTCATTGACCCAATACCTTGACAATAAAAGGTATAATATACTGCTCATTTAGCAGTATATAGGTAACTGAGAATAGGGCAACTATAGAGTTGCATTTTTGGGGAAGATCAGCATTTGGCCTAAGGGAACCTTGATAAGCCAAACAGGATTCCTTTCCCTGACTATGGGAAATAATAAGGTGAACCACTTTGGGATTAAGGTTGTTGATTTATGGAATAAATTGGTGGGTGATACAGACATGGAATTGGTGGATCATTTCAAGCATAAGTTAGTTCTGTACAGTATTAGTGTTTGGTTGGGTACAGATAATAGCTGCCTCATATGGTCTGCGGTTTTATATTCTTATGTTCCACTCACTTAAGTACAGTATAAGCATGTGGCAACTATTTCACTTGTTGTATAACCAAATCAGCATGTAGAGTTTCTGAAGTAAGTTTGTACTGTACTGTACATTACAGTTTGACAAGTTCTCCATCAGAAGTCTTAGTGCATCTGTAGGTTAAGTAACGTACACAATACCCAAGTGACTTAACGAATCCTAGATTAATATAGTCAATATGAACACTTCAAGTTATAACATCTGCCTAACAACACTGCCATATGCAATGCACAATTAGCTCAGAATGCCCTCCTCTTTCCAAGGATCCACCTAGCCCAAAGGATCAGATGGCATCGCCTGCCTCTGGTTCATGGCTTTCTGCTGATCTTTGCATAGGGAGTTCCTCTTTGGTGTTGCATTTGCATCTTCAAGACAGCAGTATGAAGTTTCCAGGCATGTCCTCTGTTTCTCTTTGGTATATATATCCTCTCTATCTTTGGCTCTTTTTGGATAGCAGGTTGATGCCATAAAACTGTTGCCTTATGCTGTTCACCCATGACAGTGTCTTTTACTGGCATTTGGGATGGTTAAGCTTTCTAGAGCAGCATTTTTTCAGCTTTGCCAGGCTCATACTCCTTCTGAACTGTACTGATCCCTGACTCCTTTGTTGTTCTTTTCTTCTCACTTTTCTTCTTGCTTATTCCTCTTCTCTTCCAGCTGATTTCTTTTTAAGACTGGTTCTTCTTGTGGACCTTACTTCTGGCTGTTGGGCTTGGGAGTTTCATTCTCTTTGCTGGAAGCCTGGGGTTTATTCCTTTGGGTAGGGCTGTAGTTGTCTTCACCTTCGACCTCATTCATTTCTGGCTATGACTGAGGCGTCTGTCATGGGGGTAAGAGATGGGAGGGGAAGGGGGACGATAAAGATGGGAGAGGGAGGGGGATGATAGAGATGGGAGGGAGTGGGTGGGGGGGGAAAGAGAAGCCACTATGAAACCCAAACATAGTAATCTTGAAGTTGTCATTGAAGTAATACTGCAAAAGTAAAAATTTATTGTGAACACACAATCCTCTGATAAACAACACCTAGACAGAAATGGTGTGAAAATAAGCAGGAAGGGCTTTTATCCATCCTGAATGATGCTGTGGTTACTTATGCTTTTGTAGTTTGTCTTTTCTTGTTTTCAGGCAGATTGTTCTGGCTTCCCCTTCCCCCCCTCATCTAATTCTGTTCTTTAACTGCTTTTTGCAGTTTCTCAGGATGTGCTTCAATGTATTTAGACTACCAATGCCCATTCTTGGTGCCTCCGTAATGCTTCTTGCCGAGTTCCAGGGTCCTTTCACCCATGTGTGCAAGCCAGCCATCTATTGGCTAGACTGGGCTTTATGGTACTAGTATAAAATTTTGTAGCACATTTCGTGGTTGGTGCAGCTCCCAATCCATCACTGTTTTTTTTTTTTTTTTTTTTAAGGGGCCGAAAGAGGTAGCTCAGTTGAAGGCATAGCAAGGTACTTTTGAGGGCTTGGCTATTTGTTTTAAAAGTACCGTACAGTACAACTCAATTTTGTTTTGTCTTCAAACAACAATTTTGAATAGCTTATGGTTTGTCAATAATGAAGTTGGTTATTATTACTGCACTGTACTGTAGATTAAAATTTTAATCTGCATGTAATTTTAGTTTTCAAATAAAAAAATGTTGAATTTTGCAGGTGTAAGCTGTGATGCATGTTTGAAGGCAAATTTCCGTGGGCGGCGCTACAAATGTTTAATATGTTACGATTATGACCTTTGCTCTGCGTGTTACGAAGGTGGAGCTACAACAACCCGCCACACAACTGACCATCCCATGCAGTGTATCCTAACCAGACATGATTTTGGTAAGTCAATGGATTTTGAATTGATAATTTTCTGCATTTTGAAGGTGTTGGACACTGTAAAATTCGGTCTGTAGAGCAATAGAAAAATGTTCCGGGGTTCTAGGTTTATACCTTTTCATGTACTGTATACGGATGTTTTATAAAAATTTATATAATTTGTATAAAATCAAGCGATATTAATTCAAATCGGCAAAGTACAATAATCCCATAGCGTTCAGCACATGACATCTGATCTTTAATTGTTAAGTACTGTACTGTACTTTTGTAATAACAGGTTTCTCTGTTGAGTAATAATATCCAAAGAAATGCCAATTCTTTATTATTACTGTACAATATAGGGATTTTAGTGCAGAACATAATTTTCCTAAATTTCAAAATTTACAATTATCAAATGACTTAAGCTGCATGTACCTTGAATGAATCATTGCACCTCATATGTAAACATAAGAATTAAGCAAACTGCAGGAGACCTGTCAGCCCACATGAGGCTGCAGGTGTCTTAAGTGTTAACCTTTAACCCTTAAAGGTCAGTTATTGTTATATATTGATCCCTGGGCCAATGCAGTTATTCATTTGCTGATTTTAGTTATCATTTGGTTTTTATATAAAATGTTGTAAATATGGTTATAATACATCTATATGAACTTGACAAAGACCCCCATGACAAAATTCTGCTTATGTTTCATTGTTGCTTGCTATGCAGTGAGGGTATGTACTAGAGCCTGCAATTATAGTCAAATAATGATTTGGTTTATTTTTTAACCCATGCCTGGAAAATGTTCCCAGACAGAATTGCAGCAAAAGAGTGGATTGAGTCACTTCCTTTGTGCTGTGCCAGGAACAGTTATATGTGCAATAAATGTACCTATATTATTACATTGTACATTGTAATCTCTCTACAGTACTCATTCGTTGTTTTGTCAATGTGTACAGTACATAAATTAATTTAGTCAATGCAAACACTACTTTGTATAAACTAATAAGTGAAATGACAAACCAAAAACATTCAGGGTAAACGCTTACGTCCTTTTCCTCAAACCACTGTGTCAGCAATCGTCATAGTTGACACCAAAAGGCACAGTGACCCTGCCACCCAGTTTTCTTCTACAGCTCGCCAAACAAGAAAAAGCATTCATTTTATATATAATATTGTGTGAGGTGACAATTCTAAAGTTAGCTGCATTTTCAAGTGTTAAAACAAACTGTTTATGCTTTGTTGGCAAAACTTTAATTATATTGTTAGTAATTTTACAAATATAAAAACCAGCACTGAATGTAACGAAACGCCATTTTCTGGGTGAGACCCGGAGGCTCCTCGGAGCTTACTAGACTGATATGCTATTGTCAGACTTTGGCATCAGTCATATGTGTATGGAGTTGTGGGCCTACCGGGGACTACAAGCCAGAACCTGGCCCCCTCAGAGTGGTATGGGGAGCAGTAGCCTCTAGAAACCCCCATGTGGTTGGAAGCATTCTATACCATCGACCAGGTCAGGCACCAAGAAAGGTAAGCATCCCAAAACAAACCCCTATTCTGGTGAAATTATTGCTACCAAAAGCTGAACAAGTGGATAGAACTCCCCTAAAAGAAACGAGCAAACGATCATGATGTCACACGTCGCCGCCCCGCTGTCTGCGCAGCTCCCCCCTCCCTGTGAGGAGGAAGGGGGAGCCCCAGACCCCTCACGCCAGCTATCCACCTGTCAGTTCTGAGGCTGGATGTTAAAACATACGAAAAAAAACACCGACCGGGGGGAGGGAGGGATGCCGGGGAGCCTCCGGGTCTCACACAGAAAATGGCATTTCATTACATTCAATGTTGGTTTTCTGTGGGGAGCCCCTCCAGCTCCCAGGAGCTAACTACCCACAAAGAAAAAACTTAGTGACTTACCCGGGAGGCGGTCGTTGCTCACTCCACAACGCGAAGTTGACACAACTGGCTGCAACCGCTGACCTAAAACAACACAGGCCTGTCGAGGCCCCAGGTAACGAGGTAACGAGCAGCCAGGACCCTGTTCAACTGCCAAAAGCCCCGTGCCCGAATGACAGCCCAGAACATGGTGCCAAAGACGGCAGCAAGAGCAGTGAACGTACGAACGTCATGGGCAAGGGGATAGACCGCAGGCTGGCTAGCCTGAAGAACTCTGCGGACGATTTGGGAGACCTGCACCTGCGAACAGGGAAGAAGGGAAACCAGATCAACCCAAAGCGCGTCCCCGGAAACAAGCCGTGGCACAAAAACAGCAAAGAGCTGCCACCGGACACAAAACATGATCACCCCCGGCCCAACCTACCAAGAACCCAGGAACCCCTCCAGAAAGCAGCAGTCTTATTCTTCACCAAAAAAGAAGGAAACGGCTGCAGACGAACAAAACCAACTTGAAGACCAAAGCAGAAACGTCAATAAATGCAGCTACCGAAGAAGGGACAAAAGGAAAAGGAAGGACTGCCAAACAGACCGCCACTGCCTCCAAGAAGAAGCCCACAGGTGGGACACCATCAACGAAGCCATCCAACCACCAACAGAAGGCGAAGACTTGAGACAGAACCGAACCGGCCCCGCCATGTGCCAATCGAGCCTAGGAAGAGGCGGAGCTGCACGAAGATCTCGGGTGCGACCACGGAGTCAGCAGAGCCGGAACTCCAAGCCAGCAAAGGAGGAGGTGGAACGTCCGCCATTCAGAAAAACATCCCAACACCGGCGATCCCGCCAGGAGATCAGAGACGACAGTCCTGACACGCAATTCTAGAGAAGGGAAACCGTGAAAACGCCAACTGGCCGGGTAAGCCAGGAAACCTGGAACCCAAACCTGGCAATAGGAGAGCCAAAAGGCATAAACAAAACACACAACCATGTGTAGGATAAAATAAGAAAACAGAAAAACACAAGAAAAGACCAGAAGAAAAGCCCCAGCACCAATGGCCAGGGACAAGAGCGTAGAAGGAAGAGGAGGAACGAAGAAGGCAAGTAGTAAAACGGAAATGAAAGGGACTCGACCAACAACACACAGAGCCGCTGGTCATGTCCCAACAAGCCACGCCAACACAGTTGTGTGACACGTCCCAGCACAAGACGAAAAGGAAAAAGGTGCAAAGGTACGCCACCAGACCGGCACCTGAACCAAGGAATACGAGCTACGAGGAGATGATCACCACATTTAAGATTCCCAGAGGAAGGGATAAGGTAAATAAAGACCGACTACGGGACCCCAGGGGCACACGCACCAGGGGACACTGGTAGAATGAGAGCCCAAATGAGTCAAAGAGACATGGGAAAGTATTGCAGTGTCAGAGTAGTATACAAGCAGAACTCATGAGGAAGCGATGTGGTGGAGGATGACTCTACACACGGCTTCAAGCCCAGATGTGATAGCGCCTAGCAGGCCCAGGAACCTGCACGTGAGCGAACGACAGGTGAGAAGCAGGACCGAAAGCCACAGCTCAACTCCCGCAAACACAACTAGGTAAGGACAACTAGGTAAGTACCGTACAGAGAAGCCAATGTATATGGAAGGGCTAAGCCAGGCACTGCAAGACGTGCAAGGAAAGAGTGACCCAGATAAGACTACGAAAAATGGGGCCATGACCTCCCCTTGCAACCATTAACCCAGAAGAACAAGTAAGGCTCCAGGAAGCACAGAGTGGCCAAACAAAAATCCACAACCAATCCCCAACATGCATCTACAGCATGAAAACTGCAACAAAACATCACCTACTAGCCTCCAGCTGTTTAACTATAGGATGATACTGAATATAATTTTTAGCCCATTTTGCTACATGTACAGTACCCAATTAGCAAACTCGGTCAATTTATTTTTCAGACACTCGCTCGTTACTGACCACTCCAAATTTTCCAGAAATATAAACTTAATTATTGGAAAAAACAACATAAGAATGAGTGATATATAATGGTGCAATAGATATACGGGATAGAAAAGCAATTAGTCAGCAGAGATGCATTCCCAAAATGCGTCAACAGCGGACACCCATCAATTTATCTATTGACGCAGACTGCGTCGCCATAGAACAAAAGTGTTAAGACTCCCCAGCCTGATAGTTAAAATTTTTAAGGAACTGCTGTTTGAGAGAGATGGCTTACTAACAGGCATTTTGAATCCTATGGAAGTTATAGCCACGTTGCATGAACTGTGCGTTGGGAGGGAAGGAATTATCAAGGGAAAGTGCCAAGCCGTTACTACTATATAGTACTTGGGAAGGGGTCAGGATAAGGATTTGGGTTGGGACAGGAGTGAATTTGATCTGGAATAGATTTAGAATCTGTTAATTAGGAGTGCAGAGGGTGTGAAAATCATTTGTATCAATTCATTGAACGAGTTCGTATTAATTCTTTAAATCATGTTCTCGTCATCAGATATTTGTGTTATATTGTGACTTTCTCTTAGGTCAATTATTCACTGTAAACTTGTGTAAACTAACAAAACTATATTCAGAAATGTCTGTTTAGTAAATTTAAAGTACTGTCTAAGCTCACTTATCTGGAATATGTGGGAAGTACCCCTCACCAGGTAAGCCAGACATCTGCATAAGCAGAATTCTTGTAGGGGAAGTCCAAAACTGACCATGTTCAAAATTGTTTGTACCTTAACCAACTCAATTCTAATTTCCACATGCAAACACTATAAATAAAAAATATAATTTAAAACAAACTTCAGCGTGTTGAAGTTCATCATCTTATTTGATGTTGTGGATCTCGAAATTAGTAGTTCTTGAAAATTTACATAACCTAATGTCTGGTTGTCCAGATATAAGAAAGTTTTGCCAGAAAATTATCCGGACTTGTCTTAGATTCTGTGCCAGTCTGTGTTATCCGGCCAAATCTCAGGTTATCCAGATTTCTGTCCAGATATGGCAGAAAATATCTGGATGCAATTTTGGCCAGATAGCCCAAATACATGTACTGTATTCGGTTAAGTGGACTCCAGATAACCAAGCTCATACAGTACAGTATTTGAATTTTATTTGAAATTGAATTTATTCACATTAAATGTAAATATTTTCAGAAAACCTGTTCTTTAGAAATGTTACTACATTATACACCTGTATAAGCAATTTGACAAAAAATCCCTATTATCATAAAACTTATCACTAAATAATTTTCTATATATTTTCTATATATTTTTCTCTTAGATGTGTACTATGGGGGAGAGGCACTGTCAGTGGAACAGCCTCAGAGTTTAACATGTCCATTTTGTGGCAAGATGGGCTACACAGAAACATCATTGCAGGATCATGTCACTGCTGATCATCCTGACTCGGCTTATGAAGTGGTAAGTGTCTTGATGGTATATTTACAAGTGTGTGTCAGTGGTATATTTATAGGCGTGTGTCAGCCCACCATCAAAACAAAGGGCGGTTGAGTTCACAATGTTCATTTATAAAATATGAACTACTGTATTGCAATTGGTGAGGGTTTATATTCTGAACATTTATCAACCCTGACTTTGTTATAATGAAAGACATGATTATTTTCCTCCAGGCTATACTGTTAACATTTTCTAAATTAATTTAACTAATGCATCTTACCTAATTTAGGCCTAACTATACTATATGCACTGTACAGTATATAATCATTTATAATTGAGAAAATTGCCATGGAGTGAAATCAGTGCTGCTTCCTTATGTTGGCTTTGTGGGATGTTCATATTGCCACAAAGTAGAACCTTGTAGCATGGAACCAGCAGCTCCTATTTTACGTGGCTGTGTTTCCCGATCACCAGACTCTTGTGGTAGATGCTTCTCAGCTGAACTGGAGTCAATGAGGGGTTTTCTCTATCTATCCTCTGATTCAGCTGTTGCTCTGGTACTTTGCAGACTGAAGACATTCTCTGGCAGAGTTTTGCTCCTGACTACCTTTTGGCCAGCCCAGCCTTAGTTTCTGGCCCTATAAGTCCTTTGTCCAAATCCATATAATTTTCCAAGACTCTGCCTCTTTTAGCAGATCTGCCCGAGTGATGTTCCTCAATGGTTCAAAATTCCACCGATTTACCCATCTTAAGTTTCTGACTCTCATGTGCCTCTTGTAGTACAGTTTGCAGGTGACCAATTTCTTGATGTGTCACCTTCTGCTTCTGTTGCGGCAACTATTTGAGGTTGCTTGGTGCTCCTTCCATTTCTTTGTCTCTTGGTTGCTTATCTTCAGTTCCTGTTTCTGTGGTCGTTTCACTCTTATCTTGGGTGTTGAACAACTTTTGTCAAATACTGTCGCTTCATATGGATCGGCCTTGGTGGAGCCACTGTTGTCAGCCTTCAGTGAGGATGTTTCATTGGCTCTGTTTTGCCAGTTGTCTTTAACATTTTTTTGCCTTTGCCTTTCTCACGCTTTTCTTTAGCCTTCCTGGTCTTTGGATAAGGTTTTGGTTTTCTCTCCTTTCAGTTTTCTGTTGACCATTTGCTCCAGGGTTCCCCCCTCTCCTTTCTGGTTGTAGTGTTGGGGAGTTTCATGCATCTTTCTCCTTCTTTCCTAGCTGAAAATGAGACAGCTGGTTTTCTTTGGTAAGTAATTGGGGCTTGGCTAGTTCAACTGAGGTGCATTATTTGTTGCATTCATTTGCACTGTTCATCATTATCTCTGTACCACTGGTGTGTGTGTGGTGGTGGCTAGTGGTGTGTAGTAGGTGGATGCTGTTGACCTTGTGTCCCTGGTCCCCTGTTCTCGGGCCCAGTTTCCTTGGATCGTCTGCAGTGTCATTAAGTTCAGCCAGCCTGTTGTCTACCCTCAAGCTTCCTTTTGTTTTCACCTTCCAGGTTTTGGATTCCAGGCTGCATTTAGCTGTGTATGTAGCTCGGCCCTCTCTTAGGTATCAACTCATTCTGTGTCGGCTGTAGAGAGAGTTGAACCATTGCTTCCTATTAGAGATCCATAGCCTTCTGTTTATATGAAGGATGTATTTGGCTCTTAAACAGCTACATTGGAAATATCATGGCTGCTTAAATTACTGTATCCTCAAGAACTCCACATTTACAGGAATCCCATACCACTAATAACATCTGTAACATATTCTTAGGGATTCCACAAAATACTGATGACATCTGATAAATACCAGGCAAGTTTCCCCTCAACCAATTTATGAGCAACCTCGCCCTAAAACACACAGGTGAATTGGAATATAAGGCCACCAAAAATCAAGCATTGGCTGTCACACACCGGGTAGTAGCAAGTAACATCTTGCAACTCAACTTGTCACATTGCTGTCATGCCATTCAAACATCAACCAGTGTAACTAAACTGTCAAATATACATATAAAATTACCATATTGTATGTTCCTTGTCCAACCCTGTCATAACTTTACAGTTCAAATCCTTTAGAGTATGGAGATTGCTTCCTGTCTGATGAGGCATGGAACTTTGCTCTGCCTTGGGTCTTCATTTAAGGCTTGAAGGAAGGAGTCCAAGGTGGATCCCTGGGTGCCATTCAACCTGTCATGATTTCTGATTCCCTCAGCAAGGTTTGCAAGCTTGGATGGAGGATATTCCATATTTATCAATGTTTGTATATTCCCGTGGCTTGTTTGGGTCCTTGTTCAAGTGTTTCAGGTGGTTTCTGATATCCTCCTTTGTGTTCAATCTGGTTAGTTCTTTTTTGGTTCCTCCTGAGGACTGGGGCCTTGCTTCCTTCTTTAACCCTTGTTTGCATTCTAGTTGGCTTTGGCCTTAAGGTTGTAGTTATGAGGTCCCTACTTCATCCTGGCTTTTCGACAACCTGATCTTTTTCTTGGGAAAATGGCCATGCTTGTGCCATACCTGTACATTTGAGTGGCATGAGATGGGCTCCGTCTCTCAGGTTTTCTTGGGCTATGCCTTGTTTGCTCCACTCGAACCTTCCCTGTTTGTTCATCCTTCCCTGAGTTATGGGCATATGGCAGCTCCTTGTGCAGTTCCCTTTGCTTCTGAATAACGTGCTGTGGAGATTAATTAACAGGTATCATGTTCACTTAGCTTCTGTTTTCTGCATCTAGCATATGGTTGAGTTATTCTGTCTTATTCTGGGTCATCCTGAATGTTTTGATTTCAATGCCAGGGGTTGCAGCCATGTTACTTGAAGTTCCCTGAAGCCAAAATCCCACTTAGTGTCTCAGAAGTATTCCTTTAGTTACATACACTTTACCCCCCCCCCCCCCTTGTAGTTTAATTTCACATTCTCATGCTTCCTCTGCTGCAGTCTCATACTTAGCAACATACTTTATTACAGCCCATCCTCTTGTTTTGGTAGTACAGTACTTATACAGTAGTAATGATGAGGACCATAGTATATATACCGACGAACAAAGAAATTAATTAGTGTCTATTGATGATCGTCACAATAGGTACTATCTAAACAGGAGGATGGGTTGCTTTATTAACATCTGAATGTGATCAATCTTTCCAATAAGAGTTAATAGTCTCTGAAATATTTCCTTTTCCTTCCTTCCAGTATTGATGGGTCATTGCCACCTCTCACTCTTGTTACCTGTCTTAACATACGGCTGCAAAAATAGTTCTCCCAATTTTTTAAATAAAACTGTCCACTTCTCCACATTCTTCCTTCGTATGATTCCATACTGCCTTTGGTTTACAAGTATTGTATAGTTTTATGTATAATTCAATGGCCTTCATTGCCATACTGTAAAACACTTGACCCAACAATAATTGTGGGGCCTAGTTGTAAACTGATTGGTAAATCATGTGCCCTGGAAAACCAGTAAGGTAACGTTACGCTCTATGCCTGGTAACAACATTCACATGTTATCTTTTTTGTCCTTTATTCATCATGTGTATAAAAAAGTAGTTATGGCAATTTATTAATGTGTTTTCTATTGGTAATTTTTTACTGTTCAAAAAATCTTAATTTCTTTTATTTCTACAAGTACCTGAGTCAAGATTCGAGGATGTTGGGATTTAATTTTTATTCATTTATTGCTGTGTTTTTTTAAGATGTCCAGATGTATATTTAACCCCAAACAATGTGTTGTATTTACAGGTTTGTCCAATATGTGCCTCTGTGCCTGGAGGGGACCCCAACCATGTAACAGATGACTTTGCTGCTCACCTCACATTGGACCATCGCTCAGGTGCCCCAAGAGACCTCATATCCTTTTATGCAACATTTCATACCTATGATTTTATGTAGCATTTTCTTCATTTGTTCTTATTTTAAAATCAAATTTTCCAATATCTATTGTGTAGAAAAAAAATCTGGAAGGCTTCCATTCAATATCTTGAATGCATCGTATTAACTGAAAACTAGTAACACTTCTTTAAGATTGTTATAGAATCATTCCATTTGTTATTGGGGAATATACGACACTGGCCTTTTTTGAGCCGGTCGGCCGAGCGGACAGCACCCTGGACTTGTGATCCTGTGGTCCCGGGTTCGATCCCAGGCGCCGGCGAGAAACAATGGGCAGAGTTTCTTTCACCCTATGCCCCTGTTACCTATCAATAAAATAGGTACCAGGGTGTAAGTCAGCTGTCACGGGCTGCTTCCTGGGGGTGGAGGCCTGGTCGAGGACCGGGCCGCGGGGGGACTAAAGCCCCGAAATCATCTCAAGATAACCATCTTAGTGATGTAGTAAATTTTGTAGTACTGCACAGCAGTAGGTTAAGTTTGTGATGTGCTAGAGTTGTTCAGTACCTACTGTAATTTCCAATCTCCGATGGCTTAGATTTTGAAGGGGAAAGGGATAGCAATTGGCAAAAGACTTTGTCTGTCTGTGCTTATATTATGAGACATACTGGCATAGGGAACTGGAGGTACATTGTTGAGTGTACTTTGATATATCTGAGCATAACAAGAAATGTAAGTTGCACACTACTTGGTATCTGTTGACCATGAAACCATTAGCAAGGGATTAAAAGATAATATAGTACTCTAGCCTTTCCTGTTTCTCCAGAAGTAGTACCAGGAAAGATTGGTGTTCACCTCTTAGTTCATAATTCCTATTGGTAAGGCAAGTTCAGTGTGTGAGAAATCTAATCAATCGCCATAATCTTTAACTCTCATTCATTAAGGGTTTGCCAACCTTTAAGGTACAGTGTAACCGATAATTAAAAAACATTTGCTCTGCCACGTAAACTGTTATTTTATTATGTTTAAAGTTTTTATGAGGCCTGCTATTCCTGCTCCATTCCATTTAATTGAAAATTTAATATTGTATAGAGATGGGCAGCTTTAATATTAATGAAACTGTACAAGTCCATATATCTAGTTTATAAAGTTTAAGTGTGTGACATACCACAGCACACAGTCAGTTGTAATTAGGCATAGAAAAATTATTTGCTCATTATTATTTTTGTAACTTACTCTAAGTTAATGTATGGGGCCGAACTTATATGACTTCATTGTATTTTATATATGTGCACTGTATAAGAGTTCTTACATTCTTTTAAAGCCACTAAGATGCATAGCATTATGGGCAGGTCTTTAATCCTAATTTTACGTGGAATGCGACTTGCCAAATTGCTTAATAACCGGGTACCCATTCACTACTGTGTGAATAAAGGCTACAGTTAAGAATTGTTCGTATATGTGGTCGGTCATTCTGAAAATCTGGGGGAAAAAATCTACATTTTCATAGTATAAATTCAACCGTATTTTGTTTGTACTCACCAATACGAGAAGTCCTGATCCACTTTCTAACTTCAGTCTTATTGTTGACGGAGCATTATTATTATTTACATGGACGAGGTGGTGGATGTTGATGGTGCTGGGTTGAACCTAATACCATGGTAGATTTTAAAGCTTCTGAGTCATCTATCACTGTATAAACACTTATCAAGAATTTTAATTGATTGGTGAAACTCGCACGCCTTTTCCATGAGCAGCCAGCCTGCTACTGGCTTCATATTCTCCTTATGCTTCTGTTTGTACCAGTGTCACACTGCATTATCAACTCTCCACATTTGCCTTACCACCTTTCAATTACTTATTGACTTGTCCCTTACACTTGTAGAGAAATATTAAAAAATCGTAGATTTAGCCTTCCGAAGATCAAAACCGTACTCTTATTAATAGCATATTTAGTGCGCACAACATTTCTCGGGACTGCTCTCCACCTTCTTAATTACTACTTTCTTCTCAAATGTCATCACTCTTTTGCATATCCTGCTTGTTGAAGCTTTCACTGACACAATGGGTGCATTTGGAGCTGACATAATGCACGGATGTTCCTGTTTGTGACAATATATCCAACAAAGTCATGGAATGAATACTCCAGTATCATGACAAATCAAAACAATGGGAACAATGGCCCATGAATCTGTGAGGTCACAGGGTAGGAGGCACTAGAGTGGTGCCTGACAGTCAGTGGGCAAACTAGGGCCATCTCCCACCCAAGCACCCTCCCACCACCCTGGGCCACGTGGCCTGGCGGATGCTTGTCTGATGCGCTACCTGAACTGTTTAATACAAACCTTGCACTACCTGAACCATTTTATACGAACCTTGTGCTACCCAAACTTGAGTATTCGACCCAACCAAATTGGAAAACTGGCATGTTTAGATAAATGGCGTTCGTAAAAACGTGACTGGCTGTTTTTAGAAAAGAGGCAGAATGGTAAGGAGAAGGGGACATTAACATTCATAAATTGCAACTCTGGAAGATTTACACTTTTTGACAACTTTTAATATATTTTATTATTGTGAAACTTCCTTAACAACTTTTTACGATGAACCATCTGGATCTAGGCATGGAGTTCGCAGAATACCTCATCAAGGTCGTGGAATTAGTCGGGGTGTTGCAAGACGTAATATGACCTTCGGGTAAGTGTTTTATTCTGACAGTTTTCTTGTCTGTGTGTGTGTGTTATTACCTAAGTGTAGTTACAGGATGACAGCTATGCTCCTTGTATCCTGTCTTCCTAGTAATTTGTCATTGTAGGAGAATGGTGTTCTCTCAGCTAGACTTGTACCCCATGGCTGTTGAGCTGTGCAATGGTGTACACTGAGCATTGGTTATTGCCTTTATCCAAGGAAACTGGTACCTTGTGTAAGGTGACTATGGATCAGGGATCACATGAGCAGTACAGACATAGTGTGTGTGTGGTGACATACAACATCTGGTATCAGATAGCAGTTTATACATCTCGCCTGTATAATCATGGATGGCTCTCGCTGACATGAGTTGAGCTGTAGAGTGTAGGAAGTAGCAAGAAAAGATAACAGCTGACCTGACCTTTGCCAATGGTTTTGATAATCCATCCTTCCAACTCCTAGTGTGGTCAGAGGAGCCCAGAGTTTATCCTGTCAGATGTATGTGTATAGGGTTAATCTTTGGATTAAGATGTGAACTCCTCCAGAGCTCTCTAGTTCCATCACTTTGTGCCACAGTAGACTCTAGAGTTACTCCTGAAACTGTAATCTCCTGTGCATCTGTCAAGAAGAAACAGCGATGGTGTAGGCTTCATTCCTGAAGATAGGCCATATGTTGAAATAGATGCTGGGTCGCAAGCACTTCTTTCAGCCAGTTTGTCTTTGTCGAGTCTGAGCTGTGCTTGCTCCATTCAGAAGGTTTCAGTGGCTTGTGGGTCTTTTCAGCCCTTTTTCCAGTTTACCTATTTAATGGAACGTTTGAGGGGTTGCTCAACCAGTTTGCAGCCTCCTGGTCCCATGATTCATGTGCCTTTTGGGTCGTTTCATGCACCCAGTAATGGAGTTGGTCAAGTCAATCCCTTTCCCTTTTGGGGCTCGTATCTTTCTGGATGGATCTCCTCTCCTTTGTTGGATTATCTAGGAGTGGGTGGTTTACGACCTGGTTGAAATGTTACGTCGCTTCTGTGGGTTTCTGCCTTTTTCCATTTCTGGAGTGTGTTTTAGCTAGTTTTCCAGTTCATCCTCAATCATTTGTGGCTGCACTGGTACATTCTTTGGTCCTTGTTCAAGATGACCATTATGTGCCAGGTTTTTCATTCTCAAGGCAGATGCTTTGATCATATTCCTGGGGCCTCTGGAAAATGTTTTGGCATGTACCTATACATCTGAGGTTCAGGGGTTGCCTAGGTTTTGTCATGGGGTTATATGCTTACAAAAGCTGGGGCTCAATCTGGCTCCATGCGTGTTCACTTGGCTCGGGTAGTTGTGACTGGTCTTCGTTTGTTGGGTGTTCAGGTTTTGGCCTACCTCAAGAACTGGCTGGTGTGGGCTCCCAGCTGTTCTATGTATCTGCTGGCTAGGGATCAGGTTCTTTCTTAGCTCACTGGCTTCGGGTTCCTGGTGGGCTGGCAGAAGTCCCATTTGGCTGGGCCTTGTGTGGGGCTCACGTTTGGCTTTGCTTTCTCTTCCTCCAACAGCCTTTTCTCCCAGCTGCAGTACCACAATCTGTCGGCTTTGAGCTGACCCCCTGTTGATTCGCCAGTTGCTTGAGCAGTTGTGAGGAAGCCTAAACTCTGCCAGTATAGTTTATCCTCTGATCAAAGTGTCTTCAGTGGTTGTTCTGGTACCTTTTGAGCAGCCCCTTTTTGCCTCTGCCATGATTGTTGGGTTTGGGACCCCTTTGGCTCTTTATTGGCTACTGTGTTTCCAGCTACATGGTTTAGGCTTTTCAGAGTTCGGTTTCGTGACACCTTCCTCCGACTTCACTCCGAGTCTTCACAGATACCTTGACCCTGGGCTTGAACTTTGTGACTGACACTCGCTAAGCTGACCAGGGTCATTGGGGCCCTACCCTTCATTGGGAATGCAGTATGGTTCTGGAGTTTGTGGCCATGTGGCATGCGCTGCAGAGGATTCAGACTCCCCCGGGCACTGTGCTGTGGCTCTGGCTCCACTCGGACCGTTCCTCTCTTAATTCATTGTCTCGACTAGGGAGACAATGAAGTACCTTTCTCTTCAGTCCCTCTTTTTGGAGCTGGACACTTCGATTTGCATATCAGGTTGATACCAACCAGGTATGGTTGATACCAACCAGGTATCAACCAGGTATCAACCAGGTATCAGGGTTTGGCTCTCCACCCTGTTTGTCAAAGTAGTGTCCAACGTTCTTGCAGTCAGTCTCTGTTCTGTCCTGTTTTCCACAATGGACCATTGATGCCATCTCCAAAGTTTCAGAGACCACAAGGCGCTCCCACCCCAAAAAAAACAGCATTGAATGTAATGAAATGCCAATTTGTGAGAGCTCTGGTGGCTCCCTGATCCACCCTGGAAGTCCCTCTCTTCCAGGTCATCAGTTGGTTGCCTATATCTGCTCTAGAACTAGGGCTGAGGTGCCGGCTGACAGTGAGGTGCCTTACCCCTTTCCCCAAATGAGTGGGGGGGAAGGTGGGACGAAGATGCTCACAATGGTTCCAAGAGAATGTAATAGTTTTATATAGTTGGGGGGAGTTCTTTAGGTGTGTTATGAGGTGTCATTCTCTTTCTGAAGCCAGCAGTGTCTTGTTTGGAGTCTAACTTTCTGGTTGCCTTTCTTGGTGAGGTGGCAAAAATAAATGTCGCTGCTCCCTGCACTTCTTTGAGTGGGCCAGATTCTGGCACCGGTCCCTGATAGGCCTATAGAACTCCATGGTTGATGTGGCCTAGTAGATGGTACCATCTCAGCATAATAGCTTCAAGGAGTCACTGGGACACACTCAGAAATTTATATTTTATTACATTCAACATTAGTTTTTTTCATGTTTCTTGTACGTACAGCATATAATTACCAAGAGATGTCCACATTCTTTTAACTCGTTCTTGTTTCTTGGTGCAAGACAGCTGTGACCACTTGATTTGTGAAAGTGAAGTAACAAATGTTTAGGTCCCACTCCTGAAATATTAAACACCAATATTGGTTACACTATGACCAAGTACATTGATATGTCCATGTAATCAGCAGAAAACATTAAATTCACATTACCTTGCTTTCCCTTCTCCTTTCATGCCAGTTCAAATTTTGGTCACAGAAAATGTTGTAGCTTATAATAATTATATCATGCTGTAGAAAGAAAAAGAATCAACTACTTCTAGAAAAAATTAAATGTACCTACTGGATTTTTGTGCAATATTAAAACAAATTTGAGAACATCACTCTTCTACTTGTCATTTATGCCTTATCACAACAAGAATGGGGATATGTTCCATTAATGTATTTGGGTGTTTATATGTATGTCACAGATAGTAAAAAAAATTATAAATCATGTAGTTATATTTATAAATAGTGTGCCCCTTTAATTACTCTTGTATCCCAAAGTTCTATTTTGCAACATTAAATTCTGCCATAGTTTGTGTAATTTAAATATTAATGCTATAAATGTCTTATAAATGATTTCAAAAAATGTTTTCCAACGATCCCAACAACCTTAGCTACACAAAGAGTACTATAGTCACATAGGTAATCTGAGTTTTGTTGGTAAATTAACTTTTTCTTCTCGTTTTTTGAAGGAGCGTTAGCAGTGGCCTGTTTTCTCCATCATCACGCGAGTCAATGGATCCCATTGCAGAGCTCTTATCTCAGCTATCGGGAGTGCGTCGAGCCACGGCAAGTGACAACAGCTCTTCTGCTGCCTCTCAACTGCAACAGTTGCAGATTCAGTTAGAACGGCAGCAGGTTGCCAGCCAGCCAACCAGCCAGGTCTTTAGACCCTTTAGTGCTCTGAGCTTGAGGAGTTGATGGTTTTGATCCCTTGCAACACGTTTGATTTTCCTGAATATCCTCTGGACCTCCCATGTGCTGGTTTGGGTGTTGCTTTTATTTAGCTAATTCTTTGGGGAATATTGATGCCCCACAATACAATTAACTATCCATCTTGCAATTTTCAAAATTGAGATATAGATAAATGAAGAATATATTTTTAATACTGTATATCATATTCGATGTGCAATGATTTTTTCCATCCAATGAACACAATAAATTAAGGAATATTGTGGTGCACTGTTAACCGTTAAGTTTTCACATACATAGTCTACTATTTATTTGAAAGTTGGAGCATAATTAAGCTGTTGTAAGCTACTTACAGATAATAAGCAAATAGCTTGAGTCAAAAACACATTTTGTAGACTTCAGTGATGTATATACAGTGTTTGCTTATCACCATATACTGGTGTTTTATATTTATAATTGTTGATTAATATTGGGGGCTTTTTACAGTACTGTATTTCAAAAATTACTGTAAAAATAATTGTAAATGTTACATTTGTAATAGCATTTAAGGGTTAATTGTTCTGACAATTATTCAGCTGCTGGTTTTAAGCATGTCTTGTGAGGTTTTAACTTCCACAGAGGTTGAAGGTATTGTTTAGAATAGAAAAGGCACATGTTGGAAGGGTGGAGTAGGATATGTAGCTCTTAACAGACATACAATTACCATAGCTCAGTTTTCATATTGTAGGGAGGCATCAGCCCAAAGAAAAAGATGAATAGTATAGTTAAAAGTTTGTAGATATTAAAGAATAAGGTGTTAAATCACTTTCATTCATTATATCATTCACACTATTCTTTTGCATCATTGATAGAAAAGAAATACACCACTCCAGCAGTCATCCTTAACAGCATCCCACTACTCCTTATGACAAGGCTCCTTGTAAATTGTCCTATACTGTACAGTATATATAAATATTTGGTTCGTTTTTGTAAATCGGTTCCATCCATTCACCTGCCACGCCCCCACACTTACCATGTCTGCCTGTGTTATTCTCGGCCTTCCTTTACTCTTCCTATCCTCAGATACACTTGAATACCCTCTCCTTACCAGTCTGCCTTTATCACTTTGTTGAACATCAAACCATTTTGGCATTTCTCCTTAATCCTTTAGTATATTTTTTTGCACACCATATCTCACAATGGTACTTTAATTCCTTCCTTTTATTGATTTTTGTAAGACCACATGATTCTCAGATTATCCATTTATGCTGTTCTAATTGTTGATTTGTTGTGATCATCTTGCAGCCAAACATAAAGAGTCTACACTGCTACTCCTTCACACAGCTCTGGGAGCATCTATTCCAATCTTGCTTTTCTAACTAAGGATTTTATTGCACTTGCCATTTTCTTTTCTTGACTGTTCCAACCTTCAACTTGAATTGCACCCATTTCTCTATCAATAATACATCTCAGATGTTTTGACTGATCAGCCTCTTCCAGTACTTCAACCATTATTACTTTGCTTTGTCCACATTCACTTTTAACTGTCTTCACTCCCATTCCTCAATTAAATTTTCTAGTCTAAATAACACCATGTGAATCTTAGCTTAAAGATCCATCATCTGCATGCTGTGCATCAAATTCGACATTGCCATTAATCTTAGTAGGTCTATAAGTGAGATTTATCCCTCCTCCCATGCCTTTTTAACATTCTTACTTTGACATTCATCATGACCCCTTCCATGTGTGTACTGTACAGTGGAACATTAATTTAAGCAAGTACAAGAATGCATGAATCGCTTTTATTTGCAATACAGTACATAATTCACAGCAAATTGTGGTTCATAATTGTGCAAGTTGGCAGAAGTGTTGATGTGACGGGAACTGTTGTTTTGGCAGACAATGTGTAGCCATGGGGTGTATATTTGGACTCTGGTGGTTTCCCCCCCCCCCCTCATTATTTTGCTCACCTCTCACCTTTGTTATTGTTTATTGTTTTGGTGGCTGCTTAAATACCACATTTCTGTGCGACTCCTCACAAAGTGTATTCTCACTTTTTGTATTATATTCCTCCTTTGTGTTTTGTCAAGCATCTGGCATCTTTTAGTAAGAACAGGGGACCCCTACCCTAATGAAGAGTCTAAGGTCATTGACGCTTTCATTGTGACATAATTTTTGCCCCTTAAAACTTAGTTACTAAAATTTAAGTTTTATTGTGACAAAAAAAAAAAAAATTCTGTTAGTAAATAAAACAGTAAAACTAAGTAAACATAAAACCATGCTGTGTGTTTCCAGGCATGTTATATAATTTTACAGTAAATAAGCAGAATCGTCAAAAGATTTTTAAGGGGTAGTTTTATTTTGGAGTAATCTATTTATATTATATTACTGTACTGATAGAAAAGTAGTACTCTTTTAATATATATATACCGTTTAAAATCATAATTTTTATTTTTTAAACTTACTCTTTTGTTTAACAATACAGTGGTACCTTTGGTTTTGTTCAAATCATAATCCATTCCCAGACACACGTCATTCAAACATTCATCAACCAAAACGAATTTTCCCATAAATAATGTAAATTGAATTAATCGTTTCCACACACCCCAAAAAATTAACTTAAAAATACATTTTATACAGAATACTACAGGGTACTTATATTATTCATACACTAAACAATCAGGTATAAATATAAACCATGAATTAAATAAGTGAGTATTTAACTGCACTTTACCTTTACTGAGGACTCTTATTGGCATATGGGAGATGGTGAGAAGGGAGGGAGGGAGGAGCAGTGTTGGTGTATGGGAGGGTGACGAGGAGGAGGCGAGACCGTCCCATACTCGCCTTAAACGCATTCATATCTTCATCACTGGTTTCAGATTTTCTTTTCACACATTTCACTGCCTCTGTTATGTGGCAGCCAGTCAGAACCAGTCACTTAGTCACAAGTCAGTCAAGCATTCGCAGTCAAGACCAGTCACAGGCAGTCATAACCAAGCCGGTCGGCCGAGCAGACAGCACGCTGGGCTTGTGATCCTGTGGTCCCGGGTTCGATCCCGGACGCCGGCGAGAAACAATGGGCAGAGTTTCTTTCACCCTATGCCCCTGATACCTAGCAGTAAAATAGGTACCTGGGTGTTAGTCAGCTGTCACGGGCTGCTTCCTGGGGGTGGAGGCCTGGTCGAGGACCGGGCCGCGGGGACACTAAAGCCCCGAAATCATCTCAAGATAACCTCAAGATAACCAAAGGCAGTGTAGCATTCACAGTTGTGGTAGCAACCGGTTAGGCATTTAGTCATTCAGCCATTTACAGTAAATCGGGCTGCCAGCCAGAAACTTAGCGCCCGCACAGGAGTTTTCCTGAAAAAAAATTAGGCTTTTACAGTCAGTAAACAAGAAGTTTAATGTCATGCAGTCTGCCTCATGATCCACCAGCTTGTAGCAACGAAGCTTGTATTAATACTGTCCAGATGTGGCTGGTGGAGGTAGGGGGGGGGGGGGGTTGGCAGGAATGGTACGGTGTGGGGAACAGAAGTTCATCTCTCCATCCATCCAGTCTCCCTCCACCATCCATCCATCCAGTCTCCCACCATCCATCCATCCATCCAGTTCCCCCCACCATCCATCCATCCATCCAGTTCCCCCCACCATCCATCCATCCATCCAGTTCCCCCCCACCATCCATCCAGTTTCCCCCACCATCCATCCATCCAGTTCCCCCACCATCCATCCATCCAGTTCCCCCCACCATCCATCCATCCATCCAGTTCCCCCCCACCATCCATCCACCCATCCAGTTCCCCCCACCATCCATCCATCCATCCTTCCAGTTCCCCCCCACCATCCATCCATCCAGTTCCCCCCCACCATCCATCCAGTTCCCCCCACCATCCATCCATCCACTTCCTTACCCCAACCATCCATCCATCCATCCACTTCCCCCCACCATCCATCCATCCATCCATCCACCCACCTTCCCCCCCCCCCACCACCACCATCCATCCATCCACTCCTCACCACCACCACCATCCATCCATCCACTTCCCCCCCTCACCACCACCATCCATCCATCCACTTCCCCCCCCCCCACCACCACCATCCATCCATCCACTTCCCCCCCCCACCACCACCATCCATCCATCCACCCACTTCCCCCCTCCCCCACCACCACCACCATCCATCCATCCACTCCCCCCCCCACCACCATCCATCCATCCACTTCCCCCCCCCTCCACCACCACCTCCATCCATCCACTTCCCCCCCCCCTCCACCACCACCTCCATCCATCCACTTCCCCCCACCACCACCATCCATCCATCCACTTTCCACTCCATCATGCATCTGTCCACTTCCCCCCACCACCACATCCATCCATTCTCCCCCCTCCATCCACCCATCCACTTCCCCCCACCATCCACTTCCCTTCCACCATCCATCCATCCATCCACTTCCCCTCCACCATCCATCCATCCATTTCCCCCTCCACCATCCATCCATCCACTTCTCCCCACCATTTATCCATCCATTTCCCCCCACCATCCATCTATCCCGCCAGTTCCCTCACCATTATATATCGCCCATGGTGTGGTATATAATAAGATATATAACTTACATATCACTTTACGGTTTAGAAAACAATAAAGCAGAAAAACAAGGAAATTCTTTACAAAGAATTTAAGATCAGTCGTCAGAATAGACTTGTAAACAAACTGAGAGCGCCTCGTCCCCTATGGTGCCCCCATCACCACAAGTTCGTTCGACCGATAAGTGTATGAAAAGACGTCTTCCAAGTGGAAACCCCCCCTCCCCATCCCTGTCTGGCCCGTTGTCGCCGTGAGAGGGGGCTTACCTGCTTGATGGGGTTCTGGGAGTTCTTCTATTCCCCAAGCCCGGC